GACAATTAAATTATTGTATTAATATTTGTTAGTTAATACAATCAAAATAATGTACTAAATACGATATTACATTGTTATAGCATTATTGCGCCATTTATGATGTGGCAGAGGACTATAGGCATCTATGACAGTGTCGCTTTTCTGCAGATTAAATGTATTTTCTAAATAATGATGTAGAGATGGTTGACCGTGATATAATATGAGAAGGAGTTGATCGGAGGGTGCGGTCAAATAAATACTAAATTATACAAATAAATAATTAAGTAATAATAATAATAATTAAATAATACTATTTGTATAATTTAGCATTTATTTGACCGCACCCCCCGATCAACTCCTTCTAATATTTTCTAAATAACTACTTCAAATATTTAAAAAAGTAATCAGTGTTTTAGCAAGAAAACTGTTTTATTCGAGTGTTTATCGTAATTGTTGACCGTTTATTTACAAAGGACGCTTAATTTTCAACTTTAGTTTGAACGACTTGAAAAAATAGAATTTACTGTTGTTTTGTATCGCTAAGGCCATTTATTTTTTAATATTTTATTATTTTCTAACTATCCAGCTTTAATAAAAGGCCAATTATGACGAAATTAAGCCAAATGTTGAATCTCAGTGACTAAAAAACTAACTCAAGTCAAAGACGTCAATCCGCCATGTTTGGAGCAGTGCGACCACTTTTTTTTTGTGGGAAAGTTCGCCTTTTTTTTAATAAATAGTTTCAAGGAAATCAACTATATGCAACTTATTGGCAGGAGTTCCCAGAAAGAGATTTCATAAAATTTGTTGAGGGGACATATTTTGACAGGTTTTTGAATTTTTGAGGGGGCGCATTTCGACGGGGTTATGAATTTTTGAACTAAGGGACAAGCGCAAAAGCATGGAACATACCGCAGCAAGTGTAATTGTATATGACCTAAAATTTTTCTAATTCTACCTTAGCTTTCTCTGTTTTTAAGAAACAGTGACCAATAAAATATCTTAGGATAAGGGGGAGAGAGCTTCTTGCGCCATCGACCTTGGGGGGATGGAGACCCCTCCTTATTGGGATGTGGGAGGAGGATGCACGGTAGAGGGGAGGAGTCTGGCCCATCGGAGTTACAGAATCCTTCCGTTAAAAAGTGGAAGAATGAAATCGTGAAGAATTCGAAATAGAAAAATTTTGAAAGCTGAATAAATCGCTTCCTCTCGGTTTTAGAAAAAAATAATATGCACAAAAATGTTACATAATTTTAAGCTGTTTAAGATTGAATACAACAATTTTTTATCTATGTCGCTCTAAAAAGAAGATATTTAGCGTAAACCAAAAAGGGTGTTCCTGGTTGAGAACAAACTATTAATCTACAAGACAATCCTGAAAGCTATCTGGACCTATGGTCTCGAACTGTGGGGGACAGCAAAACTTTCTAACATCAAAAGCATTCAATCCTTTCAGTCTAAAGTTCTTCGAGCAATAGTCGATGCTTCCTTTTATGTAACCACCAAAACGTTTTTTTTTTTCTTTTCTTCCCTACCTCGCCTTTTAGGCTATACGGGATTTTCCCGGGCCGAGGGGTGAGGGCGGGGAATTTAAAATCCCCTCCGGCACCGGGACGCGAACTCGTACTTTTTATATCATCTCAAATCTCTGTTATCCGGTTGCCAGGCAACTAGCGGTGCTGTTACACACGCTTTAGCCTATTCGGCCACCCCGCCCCCCTGTAACCACCAAAACCCTGCACAATGAACTTAATTCCCATTTGTACTGGACCTAATCCCAGACAAATTTTCGAAATTTCACCAGAATCTTACTCATCATCCTAATCCTGTAGCACAGTCTCTATCTAGCTCCAGTCATCCCTACAATGCTCCTCGGAGATTAAAACGGCAGTGGCCCCGCGACCTTTGCTCCGCGGCGTCTGTTGTTCTAGTGCCCTCTATCAGTCTCCACTGGCTTACAATACCAGTGACGCGGCTGGGAGAGAAGCACTGGGATCTCCTGGAGTCCTGCTTTGGCTTCCACAATTGGGGGACAAAGCTTGATTCAGAGTCCACTGGGCCAATGTAAATATTGTACATAGGTGTGAATGTGTTTTATTTATTTTATTATCATTCGGCTTTAATCGTTATTTTACTTATCTTGTATATTACTTTATCTTTATATTATATATATATTATATATATATATATATATCTTTTTTCTTTTTCTCTTTCTCTTTTACTTGGTTATTTTTATTTATTTTCCTTTCTTATGTACATATTGTGTGAATGAATACTATAGCCCTAGTACCAATGCCCTTCAGTGTGGCTGTAGTAGACTGTATTAATACTCAATAAAATAATTGCAAAAAAAAAAAAATAAAAAAAAAAGATACATTTTTGCGGGGCCTCCATCGCCTCCTCCATTCCTAACTTTAATGTCAAGTCTGAGTTTATGTTCATCGGATCTTTACGTTTCAGAGTCCCCACAATTATGTCTATTTTTGAAACGTTATTAAATTTGCTACAAAACTATTAAAAAAAATCTGGTGCAGTCATCTTTCACTAACACACATCTTTCACTAACCAACTTTAGAGTAGATAGGTATTTTCTTATAGGAAGTCGACGTGAAAACTTCATTTAATACTTTTATTTACCTTTTTTTCCCCGCCCATGTAATGAGTTAAATATTTGAATTTGTATCACTTTCCATTTTCTTTTACGACTTCGAATAGTATCAAACAATACTAATGATTTTGGGAAAAATGGATCTTTTGGAAAAAAGAGTTTTATCACGATACTCGTCGAATAAATAACTTAAGTTAGTTAGTTAGTTAGTAAAAATTGCATATAATTTGATTTATATTAGGGTCATTCCATGCCGAATCATCCAGGGCCCGCAACGCACCCCCTCAGATCTTAATGAAAATTTGTAAATATTAAGTAAATATACATCTAAGTAAAAATAGTTTTAGAATTATGGGCTTTTAAACTTTCGAAATATTTGAAGTTGGGAAGACATTTTGGGCTTGAAACCAGCAAGTACATGTTTGGTTTTCATTTGTAAAACCAATATTCATAGACCAAGAGCTTTCAAAATGTATTCCTTTATCATAAATTTAATACAGAATCTGCTGATACCATAAGTTTTAGCATTATAATTTTTCTTCATGTATAAAAAAATCTTAAACATACATTTTCAAAATAGTGATACAAATATATAAAACTACCTCTAGCTAAGATCTCTCCGATTACCCCAATACAACAGTGTATATTAGTGAAAACAGCATACAATTCTCTACCAAATGCATAAATAATATAAGTGGGATCTCGAGTTTGAAGAGCTTTATTACGCTTTAAACAAAATACAGTAAATTTTAATTTACCAGTTACAAATACAAGTGAAATTTGCTTAAATCTCTCTCCAAATATCCTTGTACAATCACATATCTCTTAGAGTTATAAGAGATTTATTATAATGTAAGTCAAATAAGTTTTTGCGTTATGCGGAAATGGTGTGCTAATCGATATCGAAAAATACCTGTAGCAAAAATCTCTGTACGAATACTCCAATACAACCATATATTGGTGGCAACGGAATACAATTCTCTATCAAATGAAAAATATAATAGTGGGAATTTGAGTTTGAAGAGTTATATTACAATTTAAGCCTAATACATTCAAATTTAATTTATCAGTTATATGATTAAAGCATTTTTATTTAAATAATTTGCTATAATCTCTCTCCAAATGCAACCATATATTACTTCAAATAACATGCAATACTCTTCCAATTAGCACTCCAATACTACTAACAATTTTTCATTTGATAGAGAATTGTATCCCGTTTTCACCAATATATGGTTGTATTGGGGTATTCGAAGAGAGATTTTTGCTACAGGTATGTTTCGATATCGATTAGCACACCATTTTCGTATAACGCAAAAATATATTTGATTTACGTTATAATAAATCTCTCGGGCCGTGGATGATTTGGCATGGCTAAGTGCAAGACCAAGACCGATATTGGGCAACACTAAAATCGGGCCAGTTTTAGCAAAATTATAGTATATTAAATTTTCTACGCCAATGTTAATGATGGTTTAGTTCACCTTGCTTTATATCATCAAAGAAATCGTGGTTCAATTCCGTTGTATTTTTTTTATCGACATAATTAATGTTGTAATAATCTGTATAAAATCGGTAGAAAAGTCGCGTAAGTGGACACACCAGATTTTTTTTTTTAATAATTGTTATCGTTGTATATATTGACTTTACTATACAAGTCTTCCATTCCATCTAAAGAAGGGGCCAATCACTATCTTGACAACGCCTTATAGTATTTTCAAGTCAATTTTATTAATTTGGTTGGATTTTACTATGTCTATGTCAATAAAAACTCTAAATGTACCAACTTAGTAGCGTTTTTTGAATATCTAAAGTTACATGTTTCATAAATAGCAATAAGCTAATAGGTAATTGCAAGAATCTTGCATTTGGGCAATACTACCTTCCATATATCATCTAATATGTTTATGTTAATATATGTTCAATCTAGGATACTATAGTAGGGGGTCTGTCGTATCGAACCTTTAATACACTATTCATATACTTTTAAGTAGACCGGTTCACTTCTGGAACCGGCAGAAACTGAAATAGAACTATTGAAAATACAGACAATAAATAGAGATAAATGCGGTTCCTGAAACTCCCTACACGCCGTAGAAACGCGATGTGCAGGAACATAGTGCTTAGTCAGTCTTGGTCTTGCTTTTGGTCAACACTGCCTTCCGTATATCATCTAAAATGTTTATTCAGGTCCATCGTTTTGTTGTAAGCCTTACGTTTTTAGACATTACTGTAGAATTACAAGCAGCACAAAATAAATCTTATGTAACAAAAACAGGTGTCAGGTAGTTTATGTGCACTGTGTTACAAACCCGTGTAATTTAATTGATACATACACAGTTAAAAACATAAAATAGTTTATCACTTTATACGATCTACAGAGACAAGAGAAAAAGAAAAAAATAATTCTTACTTTTGCATGAGTTACGTTTTGCTCTGTAAGGGTATGGATATCTTGCCAATCGTGTTGATATTTGGAAAGAAGGTGGGCTCCAGCCAAGGAATCTCTTTTTTGGGTCCAAAATGGAAGTTCATCTCTGCTTATGCTGTAAGTTGAGTAAACATTGGTTATTTAAAACATTGTAAACATTCACAAATAGTTGTAAAATAGGCAAAGATTTGAAAGTAATAACAAATATGGACATTATAACTACCTCCACCAGTTAGTACAGACGTTAATTTATTATATTCCATTCTTTTTAATAGAATTTATTTATTTATTAACCAATTAGTAATTAAAAGCCGTTTAAATTTGTAATTCACCAACGGGATTAGTGTAATATCAATTATTGAACTCGAAGAAAACTAAAAGAATGCCGTGGGTGGAAAAATAAAAGAAAACGGAACCTACTATTCCAAGCACATTCAAAACAAATAAAAACAAACGTCATGAAATAAAAAAGAAGTGTGTTCCAATATAATAAACCAACTCATAGATAAAGAGGATTTTGTAAAGTAAACCAACAACTTATGTTTTCACCAGTTGTAGTCAACACAATTTTGTCAAATCATAAAACATATTATGGTTGGAACGTTAGAGTTAAAGCTTGGAGTCACAAGGAGAAACACCAATAAATATAAAAATAAATTATATTATTTAGTTACGACATTATTATTCGTTTATAATAATGATTACATCACCATAAAAAAAAAAATTAAAAGCCCTGAACTCAAACAAAACCTAAAGTTGCACTCAAAGGGATGTTTTATCAGATTATTCAAGTGATGTTATTTTAGCCAACATGAAAAATCAAGGAATAGAAATTAAAAATATTCCAAATGATGGAAAAATCAGATGGAACAGAATCTAAACTGCTGTTGGCTGTTGCCATACTAGAAAATAAGGAATAAATAGCTTAATTAGTCCAATAAAATACTGAAATAACGTTTATTATCAACTATGGAAGAAATATAATAGCAGAAGTAGATTAATAACACAATGCTACCTACGGCGGGGTTCGATGATGTCGCCAGAAAATGTTTCAAAAAACGAAAATTCCTTAGTACTACATAATGCTCAGTACATTTATCCACCGACTGCCCAAATACGCGAACTGATTTTTTAAAGCATAAATGCAGTATTTGTCATGAAGAAAGCTTCACAGATATTGATTATTGCAATAAATTAATAAGAAATAGACTTATTCAACAAAGTAAGCCATGACCCAAGATAAATTCCTCAGGTCGAATCGTGTACAAATCTGAGCCAACTCATACTCAACTCTAAATGGTTTAAAAAACTTTTATGTAAAACAAAAAAATCTATAAAAAATATCTTACTGACTCCTGGATCATCTCCTTAAAAATATTTTTGGTTTACTAAATTTAATATTTACAACTTCCGAAAACATTGACCTCAGAATAACCCTGAAAACCCTAGCAGACCTTGACAATGCCGAACATTTCTTTACCACCATTATTCAACAAACAATCTGGACTGCTTCCTCTCCAAACCACTCCTCAAGAACTCCCAAGAAAAACAATTTACCTCAACACCTCATCCAAACGCCGTGCCAGATAATTATGGCAACATACTCGACACCCCACCGATAGTTGATTCTAAGATCAATTAAATCCGAAAAGTTAGCTATTAGGTTTTAGTTGTAGTTACGGATAAAGCTAATTAGCTATTAGCTATAAGAATAGCTAAAAGTTAGCGGCCTGGTCCCGCTAATAGCTAATTTAGCTGTTAGCTATAGATACTTTTTGCCCAACTCTGCTACCAGCCAGGTAAACTCGAATCCTAGACGCTGCTCTACTCTCACTACAGAATTTTTACAATTAAACTACATTTATCGCATTATTTAAACTTTTTTCCACTAACAACTCACAAATTGTCAATCAAACAATTTGACATCTTCAATCGGCACATCCAAATACTCAGCTTTGCTGGTGACCTAGATATTGTCAAAATGTCTTAAGAGTCTTTGAAAGAAGCCATTATCAAGTTGGCGGAGGCGGAGAAGATGGAGATATGTATAAAACAGTAGAAGACTAAATATATGAGAGCTGAGCTCCTAATCGTTCACAAAATGAACAGTGCTCAATTCGATGTGGCTTGCTGCACAACATTACTTATGACTTTCCAATTAGTACCTTTCAGTAAATCAAATATTTCTTCGGAACAGTTTGCGGGACAAAATATTTTTCTCTGATCTCGCTACAGATATGACAGACCCTCAAGAAGTAAATGGTCTTTATTTGGTGGTAACCATTTGATTCATGAATTAGTTTTCTCCGAAATCACATACCTGATAGTTATCGTTGCCTTCATGCATTCACGGCTTAACGAATAAATTGAGAAATTCCGTCCTACACCGGAGGATTATCAAAAATCTATACACCTTATCACTAGCGGATCCAGGATTTAGTTTTGGGGAGCTTCAGCCCGAAAGATTTTTTCTTAAAATATATAACGATAATTATTTAAGAAGGAACTAACTACCTATATTAAATAGAGTTTAAGTGATTCTTTAAGTACTATTAAACGTAATTACACGAACAATCATACTTTTAGAGGTAATTATTAAATTTTTTTTTTTTTAAAAGACGTTTATATTTTACGATTTTGGAGGGAGGGAGAGGCTAGCCCGAAAGTTCCCCTCCCACCCCCATAGATCCGCCCGTGCACCTTATTCAAGGTTAATTCACCTCTTAATCCCGTCGCCATAGAGACATAATTCAAATATAATAAATATTAACTGCTTTCTTTCACTCTATAATAACTAGGGGATAGGTAGCAATTGAAGATGACACGCATCAAATTTATAGCACCTTCGTAAATTATCTTAATATTAAAGACAAATGAACTAAATATAAGAGTCATAAATCTTACAAAACAAATTTATTTTCTATTTTATAACTAAATTAAGACCTTAAAATCGTTACACTTACGATAGCATCTTCTTGGCATTCTGGGGGAGCAAATACATCGTCAGTTAACGAATCGTACACAGTGTATCTATAATAACTATTACATACCACATCTTATATATTAAATCATACTACAAATATATGTGTTGAATACAAGAGTGTCACCACAAGAATGTAACTGCAAGAGTGATTTGTCCTGAGAACCATAGCAGTACATATACTTAGGAGTAGTAGAGATGAAATGAGTCGAAAGAGGTGTGAAAAGGAAGTTATCAATAACTAATACTGATATGATGTCTGTGAGAAAGAGACATTTTGCCAAAATCTGCAATTGTTTCCTAAGTTCTGATAAGCGGTCTTATTGTGTCCAGTCTGTTATTTTTGATAACTAGTTCTATGTTATCAGAGATAACCAAGTCCTTCGAGTTAGGGGAAATGTCAATACATGATACACCAATGGGAACATTCAATAAGCTCGATTATTTAAATGGTGATAAAAGTAATTTTATTATTATAATTGAAAAAAAATTAAGTCCATTGTGTAACTGTAGATGTTTTCGAAATCAGTTTTCTTGGCCCATTGCTGCCCCCAAATACGAAAGTATTAATTTCAACATATTGAAAAATCGCTTACAACTTGCGATATATACTCGTTCATTAGCGAAGCGCGAAAATCGATAATTTATGGTGTTTAAGGATGATAAAAAAAAAATCACAAATAATTTATTTTAATAATAAATACTTTTTTTAAAACGGACCTTAGCACAATAGTCCTCTTTATGTAGTCAATAGTCAAACGTGACGCATAAGAAAAACACAAATCTTGAATTTCCTACTTTTCTGCTGGTAATTGGGCAATTGTTTATATTAACTTTTTTGTATATTTTGGTGTCTACTATAATCCTTTTAAATATTATCCCTCTACTTACGGAATACCCTATATATATATATATATATATATATATATACAAAGTTTCTTCAATCGACCTTTGAGTATTATATTTCAACATAATTATTTAATTGGGAATAAGGTCACTTAATAATTATTCAATAAACTACTAAATGTTCATTGCTCCTGCTGTTTACTCGACGTTTCGATCCCAGTTTTTTTTTAAGTTTACAATGGGATCCCATTGTTAACCTCAAGATTAAAAAAAAAAAAAAAAAAAAAAAAAAAAAAATAACCGGGATTACCCGTAAATCCATAACTATACTTAAATAAATCATACGATTATGTGATTCCATTAAAAAAAAAATACCAGGGCTGTCCACAGGCCAGGTGCCGAGGTCAGCCGTGCTAACTCATTCTGGAACTCCTTAGCTATCCATACGTCAAACTACGTCCATAAACTCCTTCAAACAACTCCTATTCCACCACCTACTACAAATTAGATTATTTTCGCAATACTTTTCCTAGATTTTTGTATGTAGTTGACTTATATTTTGGACTAACTTTGGTCTAAACGATTTTCAGGCACTAGGAAGTAATTATTATATCTCCGTTTTTCTCTTGATGCACAATATTATAAATGACAATGTCCAAATAAGCATATCTATGCTGTTCCTTTGTTTACAACTGCGCTAAATTGGTATCAGCAACGATAAGTAATGATTGAACGTGTAAGGGTCTTCATAATCAAAGCGATAGCGGGCAATCTTGGCACTTCTTGTGACGTTCATTCATGAATTACCGTGTAGGGTCTGCTTATAAGTCAACGATGGGATCCTCTTCAAAGCTAGAATTTTGAAAAATAGAGCTTCGATCAGGCCAGGGACACACCGAGAGTCTCAGCACCGTCCACCAGCACATATATTAAGCTACTTAAGAGTAGCTTATACGATCATGATAGCTTAATATATGCACACCATTCATATATATATGTACACATAAATAGCTTAGTTATAGTGATATAATAACGTTTATGGTACATTATGTTGATTTTATTAACGAACAAATATCAATGCAATAATTTAATTTTCAAAAAAATAAACAATTTTTTTAAAATTTATTATTTTATGTTATTTAACTTACTTTATTCTATATGGAGGTCGTTTAAGTAGACATCCATTGTAAAACTTAATTAAAAAATACTTTGTTGAATATCTTGATTTTTTTATTTAACGTTTGCGATTTAACACTTTGTTTTGTATATTTACTGAATCTTAGAGGTAATTTAAATTGTATGTACTTTCCAGGAAATGAGTCATATCAATACCTGTTTTATAAACTAAAATATAAAACAGGTATATATTATTTTAGTTTATAAAACAGGTATTGATATGACCCATTTCCTGGAAAATATATACAATTTAAATTAACTCTAAGATTCAGTAAATATACAACGAAGTGTTAAATTGCAAACGTTAAATAAAAAAATCAAGATATGCAGCAAAGTATTTTTTAATTAATTTTTATTGTTATAATTATATCATTTTTACAATAGATGTCTACTCAAACGACCTCCATATAGAATAAAGTAAGTTAAATAAAATAAAATAATAAATTAAAAAAAACATTGTTTATTTTTTTGACAATTAAATTATTGCATTAATATTTGTTCGTTAATAAAATCAATATAATGTACCATCAACGTTATTATATCACTATAACTAAGCCATTTATGTGTACAGAATGGTGTGGTAGGGGCTTGTAGGCACCTACGCCGCCACCGCTTTTCTCTTGCATAAGTGCATTTTCAACGGAACTGCTTCAAATATTTTTAAAAGTAATCAGTGTTTTCGAAAGACAAATATATTTTTCGTTATTGTTGGCCGTTTAATTACCAACGACGCTTTATTTTTAACTTTGTTAAAATTTTTGGCTTTACTGGTGTTTTTTATTTCCTAAGCCAATTATTTTTTAATATTTGTTTATGTTTTTTTATTCTCTGACTATTCAGCTTTAATAAAAGACCTACCATGAGGAAATTAAGCCAAGTGCTGATTCTCAGTGACCTAAAAACTGACTGTAAGTTTTCAATCAGCTATCTTTGGACGCCATTTTGCGGCAGTGCGTTCACTTTTTTTGTAGGAACATTGGTGTTTTTTTTAATAAATAGTTACAAGGAACACAACGATATGCAATTTATAGGGACGGGGGGGAGGAGGGGGTGCAAGATAGGGGGGTCTGGCGAACTGTGTATATTAAACTGTTATTTTTCATTGTAAAGTTTACTAAAATAAAATTACGAGATTTTCTTGACTGCCATAGATTGTCACACTAACTGGATAATGTTGAGATTTCATAAAGAGAAAATTCATCAAATTATTCACTAATTTAATTTACATGACGATTTTTTGTACCTAATCATTTAAATATTTTTTTTTTTTAACTTTTATTATGATATTTACAATTGTATTAGTATGAATACGTCAAGTAAATGTGTACAGAGGAATAAAATAACATGAAACACGCTTGTGGAGAAACTACCCATTGGTAGCACTCAATTTAAATATAATATCAGATTTGGAGTTATTAAATTACAGTAAATGTATTTAAGGTTATAAAAATATCCATGAAATATTTTTCTATTTCACTTCTTCTTTCATACAAAGATAATAAAATAGTATTTTAAACAATGTCATTGCCTTGATTAGGTGGACTTTAAATACTGTTTTCAAATTAAAAAAAAAATACAAGTTTACATTTAGTTAGATAATTTCACTTAATTTCCTTTGAAATATGTGATTTACGTTAAATAATGTTAGTTTTCAAAAATTATTTTTATATTTTATTCGTTACTCTCTGTTATCTTCTACAACTTAATCTATTAGATATTATTTTTCGAAAAGTCTTCAATTTCCAACGCTATACCTACTGACTATTATTTCCGGAAATTCATATTCGACCTGGATGAGCATGTTTCTTCTTTATTTCATTATCAAAAGTTATTTTTAGCCTTTTTCGTAACTCTTAATAATGAGAGACAGTTCATTTTTTTAAATAAATCAAATTAAAGGTATTTTAGAGGAAGACATAATGAATACTGGGCATTTAAGTCCTGTAAGGCGACATTAATGTGGATAAGACCTAACTGATACTAAAGCCCACTTAATAATACACTGATATACCGAGTTTAATCGAAATCTACTTATCTCTCTAAGCAAATTCTCTTCCTTTACCTCATTTAAACATTTATTCTTCCACCTCCTTAGCAATCAATGTTGAGTCTAACTCTAGCAGCCGCTGAGTGAAGACATTATAACCTCTGCTTAAATTGTTTTGTTTTATTTAAATTTATTTCAGTTTTCAGATAGTATTATTTACAATACGTATTTAGTTTTAATATTGATAAACTTAAAACTTTCATATTATTTTCGGTAACCATTTTTCAAGTAAGAATGCCCTTTTGGGAAGCAGTGTCGGATCCAGGAATTTTCTCAGGAGGGGGCGCTTTCAGTGAAGCTATCATTAATTACTTAAATTAAATTTTTTTTTTTATCACTTCCTATTCAACAAAAAACGTGACACATAAAAAATCACAAAATTTTACTTCCCTAATTTCCTGCTAAAAATCGAACCATTGTTTATATAAACTGTTTTGTATTTATTGAGTTTTGCTATCCCTCCTTTAAATATTTCCCTCTACTTAGGAGACACCCTGTATATAGGTTTGGACATTTAAAAAACTAAATTGCTAACACGGGTCACCAAGAGAAAACTTTTTACAGCCAAAAGTTCCAGATAATCTGATTTTTTTTTTAATGTATTACTACTAAACAGTGCATCAAAGTGAAAAGCGTATTCTTTAAGAAATTAAAAAACGTCAAATTGTCCGTTGAACGAGTACCTAAACTTAATAATTTGATTAAGTGATATGGTCGATAACCACGGTCAATGAACGTTATTTTTAACTGATAATGTCAAAATCTGAGAAACATTACTGTAAATGGCCCAGCAACTTGGAAATGAGTTATCTAAGAAAAAAAACTCAGAATAGCTTCCGATTCTGATCAAATCGGCGACCAAATAATTAATACATTTCTTCATGAAAACGTTTCCAACAGCAGCCATTTTAATAAAACAACAACACATTCTAATGAGAAATATACAACTCATTATCGTGACCAGTTTTGTGATTTGCATGGATTCTCCAAGGAGATTATAGTCGCTGAAGGTTACAATGCGTTCAGATCTATTGAAACTGAGTAAAAACTGGGTCCGGAAGAAAACCCGTATTTTCTTGTTCTCGAATAAAAGGTGGCTCTCGAAAGAAGAAATGAAGTTTTTTTTTTTTTTTAATAAATTTTCCTCCATCATGTATTTCACCTGCGAGACTCAGTTCGGAATCAATAGGAACAAACTGCGAAAGGAGCAAAAGCATTCGCATCTCACGGGGACCTAGAAACTAACTACATCTCTCTTTTATTTAGATAGATGTTTTTATGGATCTTTTTTATCAGAATTATTTTTCTAATATCCAGAGGGGGACGCAACCCCTATAAATCACTAGTGCTGGTCATGATAATAACTTTTTTTTATATTACATTAGAAAATTCGACTATATGGATGAATTTTTCCTATATTTCTCATTTCATTAAATAGGTGTTATTTGTCATTTTTTTCAAACAAAAAAAACTTGACTCGCTTAAAAAAAGACAAATCTTAAATTTTCTAGTCATATCATTTAGGTTCGGTGCCATTTTTTAGAAACCATTAGGCCGAAGGTCACCAAATATATACAGTTATCACATCATATATTATTTATTCGACGTTTCGGCTTCTGGAGCCATTTTCAAGATCCTGCAAACTAATTTTAATTTAGTTGTTATAATTTATACTATATCATTATAAAACACATATTAATTTTACAACAATCAGTTACATACATAGTCTAAATTCTATTTTATAAAAATAATTTTATAAAATAGCAATTTGGTTAAAATTAATGCAAAATTTATTATCTAGCAATTTATAAATTAGGGAAATTTGAAAGTAGAACTAAGGATATTC